TGATGAGCATCAGATTATCTTTCAAAAACAAATGTTAATATTAAACACTATCATATCGTCACCTTGCAAGATCGAGTTACCCCCTGGCATCACTTGTTTTATCGTCCTAGTTTAAAGAAATCACTTGTTTTATCGTCCTAGTTTAAAGAAATCACTTGTTTTATCGTCCTAGTTTAAAGAAAGAGCAATTATTACAAGGAGAGCCTGTCACTCTAAATTAGCGTTGGCGCTGTTGTGTTCCCCAAGACTGATGACGTATCTCTGTCTATCTTGGGTTAATCAACTTTGATAATCACTTGTTGCCATCAGCAGAAATTTATAGCATTATCTAATATATAAAATAAATGAAAATAGGTAAAGTCAAAAAAGATTTATAACTCACACTAATTAAAAATAAACCATCACTTTTTGACGTAAGGCAGAATTTAACCCTTGATGAAGACACACCCATCTCTCGAAAGCACTACACGGTTTTATTGGAGTTTTGAAGTGTGAAGCAATATTGTAAATTTACTTGTAAACACATTACAGTGTTGTGAGAAGGACCTAGTTGTGTGCGAAGGAAGTATTCCCTCCATATTAGCACATTTAAACATTTTTGTATTTACATATATCAGCACACTGTTGGTTGTGCTAAAGCTTTGAAATCATAACGCTCATATCAAATACACGATGTTGAATTGCACTGTTTTATATATATATATATATATATATTCCCATTCGACAACACCTATCACATGGAATTTATCTTACACAAACTTGTATGGTGCAAATAAGGGGCATAGACAGAAAAAAAATCTATAAAGGGGAGGGTACTACTTTTGAAGTAGCGAGGGCATATAAGAGGATGTAATTTTCACTGAAAATGGTGCATTTTTATGGTATGTGAGGATGTTTAACACCTTTTGAATCTAAATAAACACTGACAGTATACTGCAATTTTATCGTAAAAATGCCGCTTTTAAAAATTATTTCACAACATGTTGCTGCACCGCAACCTAGAACAGAAAACAATAAATTAACCCAAATACCAAAATCAAAATATTTCATGAACAATTAAGTATACCTGTTTTTATGGTATAGACTCAACTTGTGAAATGAATGAAATGTCCAATATACTAAATATATATATATATATACCCTGACCATTAGTTTGGTAAAAATGAAGACGAACGAATTTAAAATCATGGAGATAATTTAAATTTAAATGAGTTTAAGTTAACTATTACAGTGGGATCTTTGCAGTACCATAACGAAAAGAAAAGCGCTTGTATAATTTTGCTTGTTTGGTTACGAAATCAAAAAGCAATGCAGGCAATTTGTGATTCAGTGTTTAGCTTGTACTTGCGTCTATTTCTGATTCTGAAGAACATGATGTAGTCTGAACAATGACTGATAAAGCTCAGTTTTGAAAATAACTATGGGTGAAGTTTGGGTAAAGTAGGCTATAAAATATTTATATCAATGTAGAGTAAAATAAAGCGGTGTTAACAGTAATTTATGAGTTCCCCTCCGGTGGGTTACCGGTAAGTTTACGGACTTACAATGCTATTGGGGGTTCGATTCCCCGCAGTGGGCAGACTACACATAGCCAGTTGTGTAGCTTTGCACTAAGCAAACAACAAGTAAATTTAATGTTTGGTAATTTCATATTTTCTGAAAAGTTCACAAACTAAAAATAATGATATGAATACTAAATCAAATTATACGAGTTTCGTTAATCAAACCGAAACTAGTTCCTATTTAGTAAGTTTGAACTATGTTTCATACAATTTCATTAAGTATTTCCACTTTGAGGGTGAAAAAAAAAATCGGGGAATATCAGTGACACTCCTCTGATCCTGACAGGGTTATTTCGATGTATCCTTTGATCTCAATATGTTAGTTGGCAGGGCGATGAGTAGTAAATCTTGAGGGCTCGAGTTCAAATTCCGGGGTGGTCAACATTTTTTCGACTAAAGTTTTATTATTTGTAATATATACTTTATACATAGTTGGGTGTAATTTTGTAGATGCGATTGCAAACGGTACATCCCCTCTGCCTACGTGCAAAACTAGTAAATCTATTTGAAGCTACTCTATTTTTAACATTCAATTGAGATAGAAATATGTGGATATTATCAACTTACGTTGTTACAAGTTAGGTAGTCAAAAAAAAGTTCAAAAATACTGTTGTAAAATTGAAAGACGAAACAAAATAGATGTTTTTAAAAGAAGATAGATCTATGTGATAAGTAAAGAACAAATAATGCAATACCTTAGAAATATCTTCAGGACATTTTAGGAACACAACTTGAAAAACTAATTTCAGAAAATGCCAGGGGGATCACATCGACTCTTCCACATTAAAAGTGCTAAGGATACCAATGTTTGTCTTTTATTCAACTGTTTCGTGGGGAAATGTACATGGTCAAGTGTGAAGAGTTTGATAATTTATAATGTTAAACTGACTTAACGGTTTGTTGTGCCACTTGTAGTTTCTTTGTTCTTTATTAGAGTTCCTTATGAAGAAAGGTTTGTTGTGCCACATGTAGTTTTGTTTTCCTTTATTAGAGCTCCTTATGAAAAAAAATGTCGTTGTCCATTTTTAGTTTTATTTTCCTTTATTGGAGCACCTTATGAAGAAAGATTTGTTGTCCACTTTTAGTTTTATTTTCCTTTATTGGAGCTCCTTATGAAGAAAGATTTGTTGTCCACTTTTAGTTTTATTTTCCTTTATTAGAGCTCCTTATGAAGAAATATTTGTTGTCCACTTTTAGTTTTATTTTCCTTTATTAGAGCTCCTTATGAAGAAAGATTTGTTGTCCACTTTTAGTTTTATTTTCCTTTATTGGAGCTCCTTATGAAGGAAGATTTGTTGTCCACTTTTAGTTTTATTTTCCTTTATTGGAGCTCCTTATGAAGAAAGATTTGTTGTCCACTTTTAGTTTTATTTTCCTTTATTAGAGTTCCTTATGAAGAAAGATTTGTTGTCCACTTTTAGTTTTATTTTCCTTTATTGGAGCTTCTTATGAAGAAAGATTTGTTGTCCACTTATAGTTTTTTCCCTTTATTGGAGCTCGAAATGAAGAAATGTAAGGGAAAATGTTACGTAAATTTTGTGAATTTGATACTTGGCGTAAAGCAAGTTGAAGAATAGTAACGATGGGAAAACCGACTTTTTCACAAGACGGGGAACTACATCTTATTTCCTTGAAATTGATAATTTAATATGAAAGCTCTGCTCCTCCTGTAACGTCGATCTTTCTGGTATTAGAATTAATATGAAAGGATTAGCTTGTACAAGTAGTAGTTGACGTATATTCTTTAAAATCCCTTTTATTTCCGGATTTACACCTTTGACCTATTTTAGTGATGGTCTTAACTAAATTTGGAGCTACTAACTCCCATTTTAAACTGACATAAGCAAGAGGGTGGCATAGTACATACGTGTATTTGGTGCTAATTCTTTATAAAACATTCCAAAATCATTCAGAGCTTCGTAGATAGCAAATTCAAGACGAACATCTGTGAAAGTTAGCCTCTCCAACCGGAAATAAGCTGCCTGGAGTTTATTAGTTTTATGCCACGTTTTTCGGCGCGTACCAAATTTGTTGTCAGAACACGTGTTACGTTCGAATATGTTCAAAGTGCTCACGAGTGTTGGCGGGAAAAAAACAGAAGTTTTGAGCGATTTCGCCAAGGAAAGTTTGATGCTCTAAACAGCTTACTAAACTCTTGAGTGACAACTTGAACAATGTAAGCACGAACAATAATGTGAGTTTAATTTCTTAACTTTTATTTCTGTCCATCTCATTGTATAGTTGACTAAATACTTATATGTACTACGTCTTATATAAACGATATACGTAATTAAATTCAAACCGAAATCAAATAGACTGGGAAAGATGGTAGCATAGGGTGAAAATTTTCCAGAAGTGCGCTCATCACGAGAGCAAAGTACACCATTACAGATCGTTATAAGATTTCGGCTTAATACTTGGTGTTAGCCGACCAGATGTCGTGAGCCGGATTTCTTGTGGACAAGCACATTCACATTATTGGTAATATTTGTTATCAGCAAAGTTTACATAAATAATATGAAAACTGTAAAGAAATGTGGCTCCAACGTGAGTTTTGGTGTTATTTTTTTTATCGTATGTTCAAAAACTCGTATTCATAAATCTTTGTACGCTGGCGAAGTGGAAGAACAGCAAACTTAAGTGTTAAGTGTGTATGCGTGCTAGCTCACATGGAAACCCAATATTCGTATTGGCTAATTGTACAGTGGTACCTTTACGTTTATACGAGTGCAAAAGTGAACGACATTGTTCTATACGAGTGCAAAACTACGACGTTTATAATATTAACTTTAAAGAGGATTACTTCTGTACTATAAACAAAGATGCAAGGAAACACATTAAGTTAATTCTTTACCTTTCCGTGTTTATACACAATGTAATACAAATTCCAACAGGCGCCTAAAAATTTACAATTAGGCCTAAAGTTTATATAGGCTTCGCAAGGGAACCACTAATTTGACCGCTATATAATCTGCGACAATTAGCTTTAATAGTCACTGCCACAACTTCATTCATTTTTGATGTTCTACAGTTAACCCATTGCGCGAAAGAAAATAATTACATACAAATGATAACATACAAATTCGATTTAAACACATATACACACAAAAATTAAAAAAAAAAAACACCTGGCGACAGTTAATTTTTACACTTCTTGATACCATAATTTTAAAAATTCATTATTTTATAAATATTATACGTTTCCAACTATTTCAAATCAACAATTAGGCCTAAAATTTAAATTACACTTCGTATGGAAAGAACGAGTTTACCCGCTATGGGAATGGAATATTGCATCATTCCTGTTATTGGTAGCAGTGGATTCCATGCTTTCTTAATAGTTTAGAGGAGAGCATTGATACCATTGTGGAAGTGATTAAAATGCTTTATTTTGCTCGTATGAAATAAAGACATCGTTTTATATATTGTCTCTTACAGTATCAAAGATTGGCCAAGAGGCATGGACCCACGTGAAGTGCGTGGCCAATTAACCAAAGCACTCAAGGTGTGGAGTGACGCGTCCAAACTCACCTTCACTTATAGTAGGGCTGCGGATAGTGATATTATGGTATCCTTTTTGTCGGGTTACCATGGTGATGGGTATCCGTTTGATGGACTGGGCCATATATTAGCACACGCATTTTTCCCGGGAAAAGGAATTCAAGGTGATGCTCATTTTGATGCTGAGGAAAAATGGGTTGTAGGACAGCCTAATCAATATAGTGGAGGTAAGTGTCACTTTATGCATCTTTTGATAAAAAATAACGTTTCCTAGCTTTATATAATCTGAGGTTTTAAAGGCACGGATACAAGCAATCCTAATAATAATCGAAAACTTCAGATATATATTAGAGCTTCCCAGTCTTCCACATTTCAAGTTTGCCCATGTACCAATCAGTGGGCCCAAAGGAACGCGTTAAACGGAAATACAATATCTAAAGACATTTACCATGATCCATCAAAACACTTAAACCCACTTTTTCATTTTGAGTTCCAATATAAAAGTTTAACAAGAGCTAGTTTATATTATCGGTTCGCGTGCTAGGCCCACATCAGTGTTTTAACCTCACTCTCCTTTATCATTAACTATTATTTTTAAGAGTTTAACATGTTAATCCAAATATATTACGATGTACTTATATTTTACTGGAAAATAACGATGAAGATAATAACAGTCTAACAGCATGTTAGACATTATTGAATTGTTAACTTTAAGGACCCAGTAGTTAAACGACCAATTGCAATTCGGTGGTTTTTGTTACATGATATTTTGTGTTTATTTTCAGTTATAACAAAATCGTTTACAGATTTAAAAAAATATATACAGTTAATGTCTAAGTTGTTTTTGTTAAATTCATTCGCTTTTCTAGGATTGCAGAACTTATGTTCAAGTAACGAGATTAACAATGTTTACAACTAGAGAGAAAACAGGACTATTACGAAGATCAGTGTTTACAGTTTGTCATCTTAACCAAACAAAGGACGTTTGTGCTAATTATTTGGTTCGGTGATCTGATCTTATCCAAACAAAACTTTGTGCTACCATGGTAAGACATGCCCACAATCTTCTGCATTGACAGCAAGTGTCAAGTGGGGTCTGCCTTTTCTCACATTGTTTGGAACACAAATGCTACAGTAGAAGGCTCCATAATATCTCCTGTTTTGCTATAGACCAATTCAAAATAATAAACTGTACTAGAGAAAGGACCCCCATTGACTGGTAAAATTTGACCTTATATGAATATAATAGACATACTTCTACCTTCCTCTTTTCTCTCTCATAAAGAGAAAGAGACAGAGAGAAAACTGACATCATCGTACTTATACTATAAAGTTTAAAGATATAAGCTCTGACATACATTTTGGTTTTGTGCATCATTTTTATTTTTTGTGCAAAATGCCTCAGAAATGCGAACATGAAGCCTCGTTTGGAAAGGTTTGGTAATGACAGTATCATTAAAGAACTTAGGATTCAATATATTCTATTTGTCTTTTGGTAAAAGTTATCGACACTATCCATTTGAGCTAGTGCTTGTAGCAATGTATATATATGCTCTTCATTCTCTTACTGATTGTAGTAAAGTAAGTTGCCTAGATGTAACTGACAGATTTATGGACTTTCATATACACAGTGGATGAAGATCCAGTCATATCATTTTTTGTTGTTTTTTAAGTGAGTTTTTAACCTGATATTTGAAAACAAGGGTGAGTAGCCGACTTATCACATTGTGTAAGAGGTTTCTTTCCGGGTAAATAATTCAAGTTGTGGGTCTCAAGTTGTATATGCGTAATATGTATTTATATATTTTTGTAAGTAAAATATAGCAACACCTAAAAAGGTACTGTTAACGCCAGGAAAAGGCTAATTGGTTTGTTTTCCGGAGTTCGAGTCTCTTGGACATGAAATTATTTGTATGCTAATAAATCTGGATAATATTTACAGTAAACAATTAGCAGAGAAGGCATTCAGGAGTAACTGGCTTTAGATAACACCCATTTGACTGGAGAGAGAGAGATGGAGATAAAGGATTATCAACTTAAAAATACCATCTACTAGATTAGGATTAACAATCTATAGATAACTACTACATGACTAGGATTAAGAATCTGTAGATAACAACTACTTGACTAGGATTAGCCATCTGTAGATTGCAACTACTGGATTAGGTTTAACTAATTGTTATCTGTAGATGGTTAACCCTAGTCAAGTTGTTGTGTACAGCTGGTTAGTCCTAGTCAGGTAGTTGTGATCTATAGTTGGTTAATTCCAGTCAAGTAGTTAGGTATAACCAGTTAATCATAATCAAGTTGTTGTTACATATAACTGGTTAACCTTAATCAAGTTGTTGTTATGTATAGCTGGGTAAACCTGATCAAGTAGTAGTCATATATAGATGGTTAACCCCAGTCAAATAGTTATTATCTATAAATGGTTAACCTCAGTCAAGTAGTTATGCATAACTAGTTAACTCTAATCAAGTCGTTGTCACGTATAGCTGGGTAACCCCAATCAAGTAGTTGTCATATATAGATGGTTATCCCTAGTCAATTATTTGTTATCTTAGCTGCATAACCCTTGTCAAGTAGTTGTTATGTATTGCTGGTTAACTATATTCAAGTAAATGGCTTGCCTCATTAAAAAGATGCGCTCGCGTACGCTCGTGGATAAGTAATAATACCCAGGTGCACGCCCTCAGGATCCACTTAGTATGTGTGCAAAATATCAGGTTTCTAGGTTCTTTCGTCTTGGAGTTATGGCGGTCACACATACACATACAAGCTCTTTCATTATTAAATATATATATAATGAACCGGTTTTTTACAACTTCACGGAAACGTAGGGTACCTAGGAATAGCCTTGATCCCTATACAGATAGGGGTATACAGCATAACTATTCGTTTATACCTCTTACAGCACGTCGGTGATATGTATAACTGGTTAATGCCAGTCAAGAAGTTGTTATCTATAGCTGGATAACCCTAACCAAGTAGCTATTATCTCTAGCTAAGTAACCCTAATCAAGTAAGTGCTGTGGATAGCTGGATAACTCTAACCAATTAGTGGTCATCTATAATTGGTTAACTGTTGTCAAGTAGGTGTTATGTATAGTTGGATAACACTAGTCAAGTAGTAGTTGTATATAGCTGGTTAATATTAGTAAAGTAGTTGTGATCTGGGTTTGTGTTTTGTTATAGCAAAGCCACATCGGGCTATCTGCTGTGTCCACCGAGGGGAATCGAACCCCTGATTTTAGCATTGTAAATTCGAAGACTTACCGCTATCCACCGGGGGACAGTTGTGATCTATAGCTGTTCAACTCCAATCAAGTAATTGTTATGTATAACTGGTTAACCCCAATTAAGTTGTTGTTATGTATAACCGGCTTTAGATAACACATATTTGATTGTTAAGAGAGATGGAAATAAGAGATTATCAACTCAAAAATATTAGGAAAGAATATATGTCTGCCATAGCACCAAGAGCAAAGAACCTGAATTTTTGAACCCATACTAAATGGACCCTGAGGGTGTGCACCTGGGTAATATTACTTATCCACGTGCGTGCGCACATGCGCGTTCTTTTAATGAGGCAAGCTAGCGAAAAATCACATAGAAAAGAAGTGGTTTCTTATATTATAAATAGAAATCACAGACAGACAGAAAGACAAGCACGTGTGCGTGCGTACGTACGTGTCTGTGTGACCGCCATAGCTCCAAGAGGAAATAACCTGAAATTTTGCACTCATACTTAGTGAACCCTGAGGGTGTGCACCTGAGTTTTACTTATCCACGTGTTTGCGCACATAAATTTAATGAGGCAAGCTAATGAAAAAATCACATAGGATAGAAGTGGAATTATATAACAACTTCATATATATAAAAGCCAGTGCTTTCGAACAATGGCTTTTATGTCATTGCTTAGCAACAAAAGTATATAGGTTATACTTTTATGCTAAAATGGGTTCAGAATACAAACACTATCAACCTAATAACCTACTTTCGCCAGTATATGTATATATATAATAAACATAACCTGTGCTTTTTATATTATACATTTTATATGCATCTAAGGGAGTGGTGCTCTCAAAAACTATAAACTACGTAAAGCGTTAAAACAATTGGTTACAATAAATTTCATGTGCTATTGGCTTTTATAAATAATTAATAAACAAAGAGCATGTTATATCGTGTGTCGATGATTCATATCTTGTTGTGAGGGATTGGTATTGCTTACACTCTTAGGCTGTTTGGTAAGCAACCTAGTCAGTTGAAAAAAAAACGGTAAAATAGAGAGCCCAGATAAATGCGAAGTGGTGTCTAAAAAGGAGCCAAGGTTCACAGCCATCAATTACACATTATATACACATGTGTACCATGGGGAACAGTGATCTATTATACTAACATAGTTGTCTCAGTTGTATTACTCAAATTGATAGCCTCAAAAACAACATGATTAATATGAGGCCCTTATACCTGTTATATTTGTTAAAAATAGTTTTTTCAGTATGTATAAAAACGTAATTAACAAGTAATTAATAACGTTTTTTCTTTTTTTATTAACCCTAAGTTTTTTTAGTATTTGCCTCTTCAACAAATACACATTGTAATCTTTTATAGATTGTTTAGGCAGAGTATTCATAATGAAT